GAGGCTGAGGACACTCGTGATCTTTGCCTTACCAAATAGGAGGAAACTATTTGATAATAGTTTCCAGTGTGTACCTGGTGGATCAGTGTTATTAATAATATTAATATAATTATCAATATACGTCAGCTGTCAGATTAAAAGGCCTGCCCTCAGCTGCCCAGACAGGCTGTCTGACACCTGGGACCTGGGATCCAGCCCAGCTCCAGCCTACCCTGCCCATCTGTTGGTCACTGGTGCAAGGTGGTGAGGAAGGTGCCACAGGCTGCCACTGGCACAGCCTTTCATGGTGTGGTTATCCAGCCTACTGGTGTCTGCTGTAGGGAAAAGCTCTAAGTCTGTGGGCAGGAGAATGTGACCTGTGGGAAGAGGGCAGAAGCATCCTTCTATGAACAGAACATTCCTGCCAACTAGCAAACCACTGATTTTGTGTGATGAGTACAGCCATCACCCCATTTTAAAGATGGTCAAGCAGATGCAGAGAATGGTAATATCATCAGCCGGAGCTATTCTGTACCTGATCCAGGACTCAAACTCTGCTTGCCTGACATCAAAATTCTGGCCTCTCAAACCCTAAAATGCTAGGGAACAAGTAATTTTTTGTTCCTTGAGCTGAAGTTGTTTTTCTGAGCCTCTCCCCTGCAGGATGGGCCCTACTGTTACCACACTGCAGATAGGAACACTGAGGCTTGGAGCCCACTGTAACACAGCTGGAAGTGTGAGGGCTCGGTTCAGGGGTTGGGACTCCTGGGCCTGGTGGTCCTGGGATGCAGGAAGAATGTCACTGGGGTGGGCGTGGGGGGTGGATGCCAAGGTCTCCAAATGCAGAGTGAGAGGGGCTGGCTGTGCGCAAACAGGGAGACCTGTTCCTCAGATTGGTAACCAGAGACCCACCGACCACACATTGTTCACGGGAAGCAGCGGACACTCGGGCCCAGACCCCAGGCTGGGGTCTGGCCAGCGCGGCCCACACCCAGGGTGTCGCCAGCCCCTCCTGAGAAGTTTCTCCGGCATCACACTCAAAGCGACCCCCCAGCATTTCAGGATAGGGCTTCCCGCCTCCTCGCGATTCCAGGGACCCTCCCGCCCCGCCCCCGCCCCCACCCCCTCAAAGCTTAGGGCAGACCTCAGGCACGACCAGCCTGCGACCCAACCCACCCAGAGGGCTCTCCGCAGGGTCCGTGGGCGGGGCCGGCGTGACGTCACGACCCCGGGCCAATGAGATCGCGTGGCCCCAGGGCTCTATTGCGCAACAAAGAGAACCCAGAACTTGAAAGGATTCCCCGGGCTCTGGCTGCGCCTGCCCGGCTCGCGCAGGCCCGCGCCCCCCGGCTGCCGCCCCAAGGCTGCTCTCCGCCGGTGCTGCCGCCCAGCGACCTTGCAGGGCCCGGCCGCCGCCCGGGGCGGGGCTCGCAGAGCGGAGCCCCCGCATCACCGGCACGACCCTGGCCGCCCTCAACCCGCCCCCAGCGCGGCCCCGGCTCCTCTTTGCCCCAGTACCCCCGCCCGACTCGGCTCACCCCTGCGCGCCGGTGTCCAACGGAGACCCAGCCCTGCCCAGCCCCGAGGGCGCGTCCGAGCGACGACCGGAGAGCTGGACGCCCCCCGGGTCACGCTGGGCAGGGGTGGGCCCAGCACGTCCAGACCCGCCATTCTCTCATCCTGGAGGCAAAGCCCTGGGGCGGCGCTGCGGGTCCCGAGACGGGGCTGGAGCAAGGGGCTGGCCCCGGGGAAGTTACCCCGAAGGTGTCCAAGTTGGGGGGGGCGGGGCGCGCAGTCCTCAGCGGTGCCCGCGGCCCCTCAGACAGACCCCACGACCGACCGACCGCGGACAGCCCCTCCCCGCCCAGGGCCCTCGCCAGCGGTCCCCCAGCCCAGGATCCTCCCTCCCGGCGTCCCCGGGCCACGGCGGCGCTCACCCAGCATTCGGGCGCCCGGGGCTCCTGCTCGCTTTTCCCGCCTCCGGCTCCAGCTGCGGCTGCCGCGCCCCCGGGCGGAGCGCGGGCCGCCGGGGGCCGCGGGGGTGGCTGGCGCCGGAACGGCCCGTGGGCCGGGGCATCCTGGCGGCGGCTGCCAGTGGCCGGCGGGTTCCGCTCAATACGCCCTGGCCACGCCGCCTCTCCCTCCCCTCGCTCCGCGGCCGCCGCGTTCGGCTCCCGCCGCTCGGCTGGCTGCGCCCGGGCGGCCGGGGGCGGGGGGCGGAGCAGGGCGCATGCCTCCGCACCGCCCCTCGGACCGCTCCGCCCCCGCCCCGAGGCGCAGCCCGCTGCTGCGTCGGTCTGTCGGTGAGTCCGTCCCGCCGCTGTCCCACCCCCACGGCCGAAGGCGCGCCCGCCTCCCACCCCGCACCCACCGCGAGGCTGAAGCCCCTTCGGGAGGGCTTGCGTCTCCCGGGATGCCCAAATCACGCCGCGGGCCCTAGCTGCTGCCCTGGTCGGTCCCGACGGCACCCCCAGCGCCGCCTCCGAGCCTCCTGGGGAAGACCCAGGCCCCGGGCTCTGGGGGCGGGCGAGCCAAGGGGGCCTGGGACAGGAATGGACAGTGAGATCCTAGAGCTGGAGGTGGGGGCCCCAGGGAGGCCTTCCGGGAGGAATCCACCCCTAAGGTGAACGATTGGAGCACAGCAGGGAGAGGACGTGGGGGCAGGGAGAGGAGAGGATGGACGACCTAAAGGTTCAAAATTATCTTAGGGCTTTGGGGATCTCCCACGGGGATGAAGTGAATGGACCGCAGGGCTGTGCGTGGCTGGATGGCTGCCCTCAAATCCACAGGCTCAGAAATGGCCTCTCTGGAGCTGTATGAGACCACACAGCTAGGGAAGTCCAGGACCTGCAACCTGGTCCCCCTGGCCCTCCCGCCCCTCCCGCAGGACACCCCTGGCTTAGCACTCCCAGCAAGGGCACAGGCTGTCACTTGAGCTGGAGGGCATGGAGGGGAAACCTTTGATGGGGGCCTCTGGACATCCCTCAAGTGATGAGTGTGACTGCAGGCATCTTGGCCTTCCATCCAGGCACAGGATCGTTTGTCTCTTGACCACACACACCCTGGGCACAAGGCCTCCAGTTACGCTGGGCTGCATGGCCTAGGACTGTCCTTCCACACACCTGGGAAGCATCCCTGAGTGGGCAGCCTGTGTCTGGAGGAAGGTTGGACACTTACCCAGGACCAGACTCTACCAAATGCATGCTGCCTGCACCACTCCATAGCGTGGTTCCTGTGCCCCCTACAGCGTCTCCACACTCCAGGAGCACCTGGGGAGTTAGGGGCAACTGCTAGGGGGCCCAGGGTGGGCCTTAGGTCAGTTCTGTGAGACAGAAATAAAGGTGCTTGTACAGAAAGGTTCCACAGTGAATCAGGGAGGGTGTGTGTGTGAATGGGGAGCCCTGGGCTATGTACTCCCCATGTGTGGCTTTTGGGCAGTCAGGGCCTAGACAGGCCAGCTCCCTGCCCAGGTGGCCCTGGTTATAAATAGGCCACCAACAGTGGGAGGCTGGCACAGGGCAACTAGTAACCAAGTGTGGCATTTCTCAGGCAAGCACAGGCTGTCCAGAGCCTTGGGCCATGCCACTGCCCCAGACCTGTGGCCCCAGGTACCCCTATACCAACCCAGCTTGCTCACTGCTACCTGTACCAGCATCCCTGCCCTGGGCTCCGCTGGCTCTGGGGGCATGTGGGAGATGGGCCTCCAGTGGCTACCCTCAAGCCTTTGTGTTAAGGGGCCTTGCCAGCCTGGGCTCCTCCCAGCTGCCCCGGGGGAGGGGATTTAGGTACCTGGGTACCCTTAAGCCACCCAGATAAGTGGCCAAGACTCAACTAGCGAGGCCAGGACCCCACTTCTTAAATGTAGATGCCCTGGGGACCTGCTTTCCTTGGGGAGTCCCAGGGCTCAGCACTGAGTGAGTGGTGTGGCTGGCTTTGGGTTCACAGACCAGGGCTCTGGTTCAGCTGGCCTGGGTGGGGCTGTCTGCTCCACCTGCAGGGCAGACCTTCATCTCTCCCAGTCCAGGGCACCACCAGCCTTCAGGTTGGCACAGGGTGCGGGTGGAGCTGGGGAACTAACGCAGCCTCAGGGGCTGAGGGGCAGCGTGGGGTCACTATGGCCTCCTGGGGCCAGCAAACTCCCTCCCCCAGCTCCCAGGCAGGAAATAACCCCGTCAGCTGGGACTGGGGCCCGAGACAGATTCTGAAGCTCCTGGCGAGTGTTTCTGCACATCTGGAGCTAAGTTCTCTCCAGGGCCCGAGGTAGCCCTGTGCGAGGCTGCAGCTGTTGGAGACAAGTCTCCATCTTCAGGCTGCGGTGCCGAGCCTGGGCTGGAATCATTCTCCAGGCATCACCACCAGGTGTGCTCGATGGAGGGGTCTTTCTCAGCCCTGGGTGGGGGTGGACAGCTCAGGCTTTTCAGTGGCCTTGCAGACTCTCTCTCCCTGAGCTGCTGAACCAGACACACACACACATGCAGACAGGGACACAGATGTGCACCCCCCCGCACACACACAGCCTCACAGACACCTCTCACGCATGCACTGACCCTGGCACCAGCTGGAAGGCTCCTTGCAGCAGATTTCCTGTGTTTTCTACTGAGGGCCCGGCTGAGGCGTTGAGGCTGTTTGTAGTGAGAAGAGGCTGGGGCCACAGAGCTCCCACGTGCTGAGCCTTGCCCAGGCAGGCTGGGCTCAGCCCTTTGAGGGTCCTCCCAGCACTCTCTGGCCCCATCTACAGGAAGGTCACACAAGGCTCAGAGCTGGCAACCTGCACAAGCAAGACAGAGAGCAGGTGGGGTCCTGGGTGGGGCCTCAGAGCCAGGACAAGGAAGAGGGTTCAGTGGGGGAAGTGAGGGGCGTTCCCTCTGGCCACCAAGTCCTGGCTGGAGACCTGAATGGGTGCTGCTGTGCCCAAGGTTCCCAGGTACACATGGGCACTGGAACCCAAACAGGCAGAGGCAGGAGGTGGCGAGCCCATGGGGGCCCAGTCCCTGAAGAGAAAGGACCATCCAGGACCAAGGTCCAGCCAAACAGCAGCTTTATTAGGGATGCTGGATTCTTTGTGCACTGTACAAGGTGCGCCCAAGTATTCCCTAGGGAACGCCGCGGGCGTCAGGGGCAACACTGTAGCATGTACACTGAAATGATATAAATAAAACTTTGGTGTATAGGTTTTCAGAAGTACAGGTTAACACTGTGAGACAAATACTTCACACAACACAAGGTCTCAACGTGAATTGGGGTTTTGGCCAAGGGGGTAACTTCAAGGTGGTTAGATGCTGGTCTGCTCCAGGCTCCAGAGGCAGGAGGGCATCTAGGGCTGAGGCTCTGCTTGGCCCTGCCGTTTCGCCTTCATCTGCAGGTACCGCCCTTTGCCTTCCTCAAAGCGCTTCTTCTCGTCTTCGGTCTCAGGCTGTGGACCACATAGAGAGAGACAGGCAGGTCAGAGCTGCTGCAGAACTGGGGCCGGGGCCGCCACAGGAGGGCAGCAAGGGGAATCTGCTCTGGCTTTGCTGGCCTCCTGGGGTTACCCAGGGTCCAGCACTGGCCTCAGGCCCCATCCTTCTGCCAGGTCCATCTGCCAGGCTGTGTGTGCAAGGCCTGCATGCTTGAGAGACACCTCAAGGGGCTGAGGGGACACTAAGAGGGAGGCCCTGCACGGATACCAGCATCGGGGGCACCCCATCACCTTTCCCAGCAGTCAGATTCAAGCCCAGGGCCTGACTTCTGCCAGGGATGCAGTTGCAAATGAAATGTGGGAAGGAAGGCCTAGAGCAGAGCCCAGTGTGAGGAAGGGACCCTCAGGGGACCCTGCGGTACTCCACTTCCAGGGAACGGCAGCTGCTCCTGGTCTTGGCCCCAAAGGGAAGTAGGGACAACCACCATGCTGGCTGTGTGACCTTGGGACTGCCTGATGGTGCCAAGAGCAATCAGGACCACACTGTGGGCAGGGAGCCTGGGACAGCACGTCCTCCTCAGCCCTTCTCTGCCACCTCCTTCCTCTGAGCAACCTAACAGGCCAGATCCTGTGCTCGTGGTGGGGCCTACTGACCACAGGCTGCCCGCTGGCCCGGCAGGACGATGAGCAGTGGCCTGGCTGCTCAGCGGCGTGGTGCCCAGGCAGAGCTCACTGCCTCAGCACCAGGTGGTTCCTCCCCAAGGCCCTGTCTGTTCCACCACAAAGTTCTCTCCAGCCCGCCCTGGCCGCTGATCTAGGTTTAAAGACTGTGCTAATTCCTCTGGGACGCTTCCTTGCGGCACTCTGAGGCTGTCTGAAAACCAAAGGCAGGGGCAGTTGCCCTTCATCCATAGACACCAAGCACCAGCAGCTATTTTTAGGCCCAAGTATTTTACAGGCAAATGGTATATTGGCAAAAGAGAGGACAGTCAGCCGGAGGATGTAATGTCAGGTTATACCAAATATTTCCTCTCCCTCAGCCTCCTCAGAAATTGTTCTCTAAATGTCACCAGGTGTAAACTGTCGAAACCCTGTGGCTTGGAGCCAGTGGAACCTGAGGGTGTTTAAAGCACCAGGATGGTGCCCCCCACGATGGTTCTGGTTCCCGCTTGGAGTCACGGGAGCATGTGGGAATGGTGGCTTTTCCGAGGCCCTTACTGCAAGAGGGCCCTCCCGCTGTCCTGGTTTCATCTCTGACTGACTTCCTAAAAAACAAAATCTGAGGCTTTGTGATTTGTACTGAAACAGCCCAGGAAAAGCAAAATGCCCAACCTCAGTTACGGCAGGCAGTTCTAAGGGGCAAGCCCCTGAGCTTCCTGAAGCCCCGCCCGCGCAGCTTCTGTGCATATCTGGGCCGAATGCGCTCGATTGGTGCTGCTCACGTTCATGTGCCCACGAGCCACCTGGGACCTTGTCATGCAGGTTCTGACCCAGGGGTCTCGGGTTTGCAGCCGAGACGCGTTTCTAACAAGGGTCCAGGTGAGGCACCGCTGCTGGCCTCTGGACCCCTTGAGTAGCAGGGCCCTGCCCCCCTCCACCAGCCCTGCCCCAGATGGGGGGCAGCCTAAGCAACGGAGAACGCAGGTCCAAGGCTACCAGGCTAGGACACTGGGGGCCTTTTCCTCCCCCTGCCCCTTGTGGGACTTGCCTGGTGTGGCCTTTCCTTAGGGGAAGGAGGAGCTGCAGGGCAGCTGGAGGGCAGCAGGAGGGTCCCATTCGAGGGCCCCAGAGAGCACCCCACCCTCTGTGGCCATCTCTCTGTCCATCTGACCGTCTGGTGATCCCTCTGGGCCAGCCCCACCGTGCACTTCCTTTCCCTTAAGGACACGCATCACTGGTCCATTGTGTTACCACCACTGGCCGCAAACCTGTGGCAGGAATGGGGTCTCCATGGCCTCCATTCCCCAACCTCCTCTTCTGTAAAATGGGCCAGCACCCACCCCACAGCGTTGTCCAAAGTCTCTCTAGGCTATCCCCATTCAACAGAGGGAGAGAAGTGGGCACAAAGGCTCACCTCACGTGTGGGTCCGTTTACACAAAGCGTCCAAAACAGGCAAGTCCATGCAGAGAACAGGGGAGGGTTGCCAGGAGCTGGGGAGGGGTGATGGCTGAGGGGTGTGCCGTTCCACTGGGAGCGAAGGCAACATTCTAAAATGGACGGTGACAACGGCCGCACCACTCTGAACGCACACAGACCCACCGGACGGCACTCCTTAAATGGCCAAACTGTACAGCACGTGATCACACCCAAGACGGCCACAGAGGCTGCGCTCTCGGCAGGTAGAGTCAAGGGCGAGGCTCAGTACGGCGGTGCCCCACCCAGATCCTGGCACACAGGGCAGCTGGGCGCCTCCTCCCTTCCCTGGGCACAAAGAACTCTGTCCTACACCCTGTGGAGCTGAGTCTGTGGGGAGCTGCCCCGTCCTGGGCTCCCTTTCTGAGTCCCCATTCCCAGTCTCCCCACCTGGCACTGTCCTCCTGGCCGTAACATCACAGCATCCTGGTCTGATTCACATGTGTCCTGGGACCCCAGGCAGCATGGCCCTCTGCCCACGCAGAGCTCCACACCCCAGAACAGAGCCCGCGTGGCCTCAGATGCCGGGCCTCACCTTTACCACACTTGCCCTGCAGCGCAGCTCATGGCTTTTTGCCCAATGCCCTGGAGGAAACCCCATCCTCTATAACCACCCAGAGGGGGGAGATGCGAAACCTCCCCAGCCAGCCTAGTCACCATACCCCTCCAGCTGCCCAGGTGAGCCTTCTGCACTGATGAAGCAAGACCCTTCCCACCGTTTCTCTTCCGCGTGAACTGCGGGCTGGGGGCGGCGTAAGGGGCAGGTTCTCTGAGCACCAGATTTTAGGGAGCAGCCTGCTTCCAGTGAATCCTAATGTGGGCCTAGCACCCTGCCAGCTCATTAGGGTCTGCACAAGCCATGAGGACAGCCAAAATCATTATTGTCCCCGCCTACCAACGAGGATGTGAGGCACAGAGGGGCTGAGTGGCCACCCAAGCGACAGCTGGTAGGTGGCCGAGACTGGATCTGAGCATGGCATGCTGCAGCCCTCCATGCCATCCTATGCCGGTGGGCTTCTGCAGGTGGGCCTATCAGTGGGTGGCAGAGAATACAGCAACTCTCCTATGTCACCCTGGTGAATGGGAGGAGCCTGCCCTCCTGGAACAAGCCAGGGGCCCACCTGGACCTACAGCAGGTCAGCTGCTGTGACTCTTCTTTCTCCAACTGGGAGGTGATGAGCCCAGGGGCACCAGCCAAGGGCCTGGGGCAGGGGGGCGTTTCTGTCCTGCATCTCCTTCCCCATGTGTCCCCTGCAAGGCCTTGGAGCCAGGCGCTTCCCCAGGCAGCAGTGTGAGCTCTCACGCATCCTCCTGTCTGGCTGGGGTTCCAAAGCGCCCATGAGTAGTGAGTGGGACAACATGGCTGCCAGAGCCCAGGTTGGCTGGCACCACCAAGCAGCCAGGGTATCCTCCACATTTCCACAGATAAGAACAAAAACACCAGCCCTTCTGTCACATTTAGGGGAAGGCAGAACTCGGGCCACAGCCTGCATGCTTTCTCCCACAGTCATAAGGAATCCTGTCTCTAGGTCTTAAGAGGGCCAGGGGGTGAGCTGGGTGAGCCAGGTGCCAGTCCTCAGGAGGCACTCGCCCCCGGGGGGCATGCATGTGCAAGGTGGGCACCTGCTTGCCTCCTGGCAGCTGTGACCAGTCAGTCACGCACGGCTTTGCTAGGCCCTTTTCCATCAGGCCAGGGGCCCTGTCCTCACATGATCACCCCAATTGACCCCACTAGTCACCGCCTAGCAGCCAACAAATGTTGGGATCACAAGTGTTGCAGAATGTGTGCACTAAAGCCTCTGGACATCTCTCTCTGGTTCAGTCAACGTGTGACCCGAGGAGGGACAGAGGCTGAAGTGCAGGTGACTCCTGTCCGCACTGCTGCACAACAGTACATTCCAGAGTCCGAGCGCGGAGGAGGGAGAAGCCAGGCCTCATGGCTGCAGCTAACTCACCAGGCAGAATCTGCCCTCACACAGAACCAATGAGGTCTGATGATGGACGTGTAGGCAGCTGGCCAGCTGGAGAGTAAGCCACGGCATTTGCAAGGCCCGCGAGGAAGGAGCCGGCTGAGGGCTCATCTCTCTTCCTGTCTCGGGGGATGGCAGCCTGTGCTGAGTGTTCCGGACTTCGCAGTGTTCGGGTGACGTCAAGGCATCAAGCGCCCCTCTATGACTGCTGCAACCCCAAGATGCTGGTGGCCTTCCTTACCTGGTGGCCTTCTCGCTGGCTGCCCTGGGAGGTGTCCAGCCAGGGCAGAACTTTATAAACAGCCAAGGGCAGCAAGGCCCTCCCCTGTGCCCCAGGGAGAAAGGGGACCAGAGGCGGGCAGGGCAGTGTCTCTGCTCTCCGTGGTAGCAGAGTTCCTGCCCTGCTGATTGGGCAACATCCAGCCCTCCCAGGGCTCTGAGTTCTGATAACAGCCCTCCTAGCCAAGTGACCAAGAGGGGCCACCACTTCCCTGCTGGGTGTGGAGCCAACAGAATGAGGCAGATGGCTCCCTGCACTAGCCCCCGACCCACAGCCCAGCTGCCACCTCCTCGAAGCCCGTCTCCCTCCATCCGGCAAAGTAAATAAATACAGAAGTTGTTGGCTGTTGCTGCTCTTAATGGAGGGTTGAGGTGGTGGGGAGAAGGCAAGGGCTCCTCCAGGGGAATCAGGGCCTGAAGCTGTTGGCAGGGAGCAGGACGCAGCAAGCGGCTCACAGCTCGGGTGCATGCCTGGTGGAGGGGGTGGTGGGTGAGGAGCGCAGGCTCTGGGTCAGAGGGACCTGGCTGTGTGGCCTCACGCGGCTGCCACCCTCCCGGGGCCAGGCTCTCCCACCTGTGAACGGGCATGGCAGTGTCCCAGGCCGGGCCAGGGCAGGCAGGCCCCCGGTGCC